TGAGCCACCCAGGTGCCCCCCCCCCTTTTTTTTTTTTTTTAAAGATTTTAAGTATTGCTAGTTTCTTGTGAATCTTTGCAGAAAGTTATATGTGGAATCTAAAACAAAACAAAAACCAAAACCAAAGTCATAGATACATCATAGATACATACATAGAAAGGTCTATGTATGTATGTGTCCTTTTAAAAAACAGATTATTATTTTATTAAGTTTAAAAAAAAATTCTATTTGCCCTGTACCCTCAGTAAGGGCAGGAGCTTTGTGTTATGCGTCATTGTATCCCCAGTGTCAGTAGTTGATACATAGTAAGACCTAAATAAATATTTTTTGAATGAATGAATGAATCTTTACTATATTTTTTCTGGTAAATATTCTTCATCTACCATTTTTTGAACTTGCCTTTTCCTTCTATTTCCCCCCCTATATTTTCAACCTCTCAGGAATTCATTTTTGTATATATGAAGTAAGGTTCAAAAAATTTTTTTATATGTGGACAGATAGTTGACCCAGCACCATTTATTCAATAGTCAGTCTATCCCTGCTGATTAATAATGCCACTCTATGCTGTGCCAGGTTTTCATGTACTCAGGAATCTGTTTGGGGCTCTATTCTGTTCTTTGGCTTGTTTATTGATCCCTGTGCCAACACTATGGGGTTCCATGATTTAAAATATTGTATCTTTATAGAGAGAGGGCTTTGACTTTCCTTCCTTATGTTTTCTTCCACATTGTCTTGGTTATTCTTGTCATTTTATTTTTCCTTATGAATTTTGGCACCAGCTTGTTAAGTCCTCTGAAAAACATTGTTACTTTGTAAGTATTTTGAATAGGTTAATTTGAAGGAGAATTGCTGTCTTAATGATAAACTGTTTTTGTAGTTGGGAAAATAATACCTCTCCGTTTTTTAAGGACATATTATTATTTTACTCTTTATTGTATTGCATTGATTATAAGATAGATTTTATTTAAAAACAATTTCATAAGTGGTTTAATTATATTCAAAGGTACGTATATCATGTAGCAAAACTTGATTATTTTTCCATTTTTAAAATTGAGGTGTAATTGATGCATAACATTAGTTTGACACATAATATTAGTTTAGTTTCATAATGATTTGATATTTGTATAGATTGGAAAATAATTACCACAATAACATCTAGTTAACATCCATCAGCATACATTGTTCTAAACATTTTTTTCCCTTGGTATGAGAACTTTCAAGATTTACTGTCTTAGCAACTTTCAGATAGGCAGTACAGTATTGTTAAGTAGTCACCATCCTGCTGTACATTATATTCTCATGACTTATTTATTTTGTAACTGGTAGTTTGTACTTTTTTGACCCCCTTCACCAGTTTTGCCCACCCCCCTCCTACCCCCTTGCCTCTGGCAACCTCTAGTCTGGTCTCTCTATCTATGACCTTGGTTTTCATTTTTGTTTTGTTTTAGATTCCACATATAAGTGAGATCATGTGGCATTTGTCTTTCTCTGACTTAGTTCACTTAGTATATTATGCTCAAGATCCATCCATGTTGTCACAAATTGTAAGATTTCATTCTTTTTTATGGCTGAATAATGCTCCCATTGTTTGTGTGTGTATGTATGTATGTATGTGTGTGTGTGTGTATGCACATACCATATTTTCTTTTTTTTTTTTGCCATAGACTAGCACTTTATTTTTTTAAAATTCCAGTATAGTTAACATACAGTGTTATATTAGTTTCAGGTGTACAATATAGTGATTCAACAATTCCATACATCACCCAGTGCTCATCATAACAAGTGAACTCCATGATCCCCATCACCTGTTTCACCCATTCCGCTACCCACATTGACCCTCTGGTAACCATCAGTTTATTCTCTATAGTTAGGAGTCTGTTTCTTGGTTTGTCTCTCTTTTTTCTTTCTTTTCCTCATTTGTTTTGTTTCTTAATTCCATATGAGTGAAATCATATGATATTTGTCTTTCTCTGACTGACTTATTTCACTTATTAGCATTATACTGTCTAGGTCCATCCATGTCATTGCAGATGGTGAGATTTCATTTTTTTTTATGGTTGAGTAATATTCCCATGTGTGTATGTGTGTGTGTGTGCGTGTGTATACCACATCTTCTTTATCTATTCATCTATGGGTGGACACTTGGGCTGCTTCTTTAATTTACACCATGTTTTCTTTATCCGTTTATCTGTTGATGGACACTTAGGTTGTTTCCATATCCTGGCTATCATAAATAATAGTGCAGTGAACATGGGGGTGCATGTATCTTTTTGGGTTAGTGTTTTTGTTTTCTTCAGATAAATACCCAGATGTGGAATTGCTGGATCATATGGTAGTTCTATTTCAAATTTTTTTGTGGACCCTCCATACTATTTTCCACAGTGGCTGTACCAGCTTACCTTCCCAGCAATATATATAAATTTTTTTTAGAGGGAGAGAGAGAGAGAGAGAGCGTGCACGAGCGAGCACGGGGGTAGAGGGGCAAAGGGAAAGGGTGAGAGAGAATCTCAAGTAGGCTCCATGCCTAGTGTGGAGCCTGATGTGGGGCTCATTCTCACAATCCTGAGATCATGACCTGAGCCAAAATCAAGAGTTGTATGCTTTTTCTTTTTTTAAAGATTTTATTTATTTATTTGACAGAGAGAGAGAGTACAAGCAGGGGGAGCGGCAGGCAGAGGGAGAAGCAGGCTCCCCTCTCAGTGAGGAGCCCAGTGCGGGCCTCGATCCCAAGACCCTGGGATCATGACCTGAGCCGAAGGCAGACGTTTAACCAACTGAGCCACCCAGGCGTCCCCAAGAGTTGTATGTTTATCCAACTGAGCCACCCAGGCGCCCCTAGATTTTGTAATTTTTAGTTATACCTGCTGAAGGTGCTGTCTTTAAATATGTTTAGAAACATATTCTGTAGAGTGCAGTATGGGCATCGGCATTCATTCATCAAGTATTTACTGAATATCTGCTGTATCCCTGCCACTGTGCTAGTTGTTGGGGATGAAGTGGTAAATTAAAATTTCTGATCTTAAGGATCTTAGAGTCTAATGAGGACAGTAGCAATAAACAGGTGATTTTTATTCAGTGTGAAGTGTGTTCTGTTTGCAGTCATCATAGAGGGACCAAAAAAAGGCATACCCAGGTGCTCTGTCAGGTGGAAATAATGAAAGAGCAGTATTATCGTGTTGTTTACATGTGGTAATACAAACAACTTTGAAATAGTTCCTTGAAATAGTGGTACCTAATAAATTCTGGCTCCCCATAATGATGATGATAATGGTAGTGGTGGTAGAGGAGTTTCTGGAGATCACTTCAAAACTGAAACCATAGGCAGTTGACCAGTAAAGAAGGTTGCCCTTCCAAAGAAGCTTCACTGTAAAATTTTCAGTGTCAAACTGATCAGTGCCATAAAAAAGAGGAAAAAGGGTAGTCTTAAAATGTTTTTTTTTGTTTTTGTTTTTGAATTTCACTTGTTTTTGAGATATTTCAACTGTGATTATCTTTCCTATTACAGTTTTTCCTTGTGATTTAAGTCCATTGTTTTATTATTGGAGTAATAATTCCAATAAAAAGTAGTTGAATTTTATAGAAATCTTATAAAATCTAAATAGGAAAAATTGATGTTAGCTCTGTATTATTGATTAAAAGTGTTTTTGAAATGGATCCTCCTTCCTTATTTCAGGTTTGTCCTTTTGTTTTGGTTTTACTTTTGTTTTGTAAACCTGTCTTTTTCCTTGCAGGATTATAATGTCAAATCCCTCCTCTATAGCCTGATCTGTTGTAGAAGTTCAATGACTGCTGAGCAGGTTTTGAATGCTGAATGTTTCTTGGTGCCAAAGGGGAAATCAACTCTAAACCCAGAGAAAGATACTGAATATACCCAATATAAAGAAAAAGAAGAATTAAAGATGGAGAACTTGGATAAATATAAGGAAAAGACAAGAAATGATGAAGCCAACTTTGATTGATAGATTAGTATTTTTTTTGTTGTTACAGATGTTCCTTTTAAAACTTTGTTTAGTTTGGTTAAATAAACAGAAAAAAATCTGGAATTTTTCTGGAGCTAGTTGGGTTGTGTCTTTGGTATTCCAGTTGTGAAAAATAAAAGATGTTTGGCTATGCAAAAAATTGTATGGTTTGAAATTTCATTTAACTGGAGTTGTTAAGGAAGGATTTTCTCTCTATAGTACTTTTTGAAATTGCGTAGACTATGATACTTGTAATAGAAAAGGTTATTAGATATTGGACAAATCCTATACAGATTTTCAGTTATATGAATCGCTGATAGTGGTACATTCAACAAATAATTGGCCTTGTACCCAATTCTGGGGATATAAAGGTAATTAAAACATTGTCCTTATATTTCCAAAGCACACAATCTATTGAGAAAGTCAGAGATATAAACAAATCTTTATAATACAATATGGAAAAATCAGTGATAGCTTTGTATGGAGCTTTATAGGAGTACACAGGAGGGTACTCATACTGTGGAAGAGGGATGTCATGGAAGGCTTTCTGGAAGATATAGTACGTTAATTACATTTTATAGAATGAGTAATAAAGTGGAAAGAGCAAGAGTATCTTAATTGGCAGAGAAAGCATGATAAAAGCACTGAAGGGAGAAACTTTTTGTTGTATTTAAAAGTATAAAATAGAAGGCAGGGAATAGTCATATAATAGGTGAATAAAGGCTTTGTACAAAATAATAAAACGCTCAGACCTACCTAATCATTTTATAGAAAATGTGGAATTATTGAAGAATTTTAAACAGCTTTAGCTCCTTCAAAATCCACCTACCTACTACCAGGATAGGAGGTAGGGAGACTGTTTAGGAGGCTAATACAATAAAGTAGATGAGAAATAATGAAAACAGGGTCTAGGGGAGTAGAGATAGTGATGAAACATACGTGACAAATTTTATGAAATAATTAGAAGGCAGACCAGTTGAACGTGGTGATTGAAGTGTATGTAGACTAAAGTAGTATGGTAGAGTCTCTAGTTGCCTATTTAAAACCCAGCCTTCCTTTCTTCCTTGGTAATAGATTCCAGTTTCATTTGGGATGCCAGTGTGCTTGGCTAAAAGACTATATTTACCATTTCCTACATTAGTTGAGGCCTTTTGAATAAGTTCCTACAGATAAGGCTCCTAAAGGAGCTGACTTACCTGGGAGATGAGCCCTTTTGCCTTTACCCCCTTTTTATTGCCTAGAAGTGAATATGGCGGTTAGAATTTAAGCAGCCTCCTTGTATCATGAAGTGACTTTGAGGATGAAACCCATGACTGGGATGACGGGGCAGCAAGTTAGAAGGAGCTGATGTCCTTAATCATTCTGGAACCTCTGTACTAGCCTCAGGTTTTTATATTAGTTGAGAGAATAAAGCCTTACATCATATGGTTCCTGTACCAGCAGCCTCAACAGCACCTGGGAACTTAATAGAAATGCAAATTCTTGGCTCCATTCCAGATTTACTACATGAGAATCCAGGGGTAGAGCCTGAAAATCTGTGTTTTAACAAGCACTTTAAGTAATTCTAATGCATACTAAAGAGAACCATATCCATATATTCAAGCCATTGCTACTTTTTGGGTTTCCTGCTTTATAGTAGACCTTAATTTTAGCTGATTCAGTTGTAAAGACACAGTAGTTAGGTTTAAAGTAAAGTTGGATAATTAAAGACAACAAAGAATAGATCACTTTATTTATACCAGTGTTTAAAATAAAGAATTAGACCAGCATTTTCCAAATGTGTTTTGCTGAACACTAGACCCTTGGGATGTTCAGCACAAAAAGTTCTGTGATTAGTTGTTTGGAAAATAATGGTAAATTCGAGATTATGCATATTAGATGGGAAGTTTCTAGAAACTTGTCTAGAAAAGAAACCTGCTTAGTTATTTCTTTTTTAAAGATTTTATTTATTAGAGCACAAACGGGGAGAAGCAGAGGGAGAGGGAGAGGAAGAAGCAGGCTCCCCGCTGAGTGGGGAGCCCAGTGTGGGCTTGATCCCAGGACCCTGGGATCATGACCTCTGCCAAAGGCAGACATTTAACTGACTGAGCCACCCAGGCACCCCTGAAACCTGTTTAGTTTTATTTAGTGTTTGCCAAAATTGATGAGCTGTTTAGTTTTATTTAGTGTTTGCCAAAATTGATGAGCTCCCTTTTTTCACAAATACCTAGCTACTTATCTCTTGTGAAACGGGTGAGAATCAGATTTTTTGGCATACGAAGCTAGCATTTTTATTTATTGTTTTAAAATGGCAAATGATGTGTGATGGAAAGACAAATTTTTAAGTATCTCTTCAATGCCACAAGTGTTTCTTGAAATATGTGTATATATATGTGTAAAGGCAATGCAAAGGCCAAGAAGATATGTTCACTACCCTATGGGCAGTTTGAGAATGATGCAGTATATAATAAGCTGTAAGAAAAGAAATAATGTATGGCACTACAAGAAAGGAAGGCAAGAGAAGAATGATGAGGTTGAGGAATAGACATTTGAAACATTTTAGAGGAGCAGTAGGATTTTACTTGTTTGGAATTGGGCCAAGGGAATTAAGAGAGCTCAAAGGGTAGATTTAGGAACAGGCAAGATTTTGGCCGGAGTATAAGACATTAATGGTGGAGCTGAGAAATAGGCTTGGAAAAGTATTTTGGGGACAGATCATAGAAGTTGTGAGTTGCTATATAAGAGATGAGACTATTATAAACTTATGAGCAGCTGAATCACACAGTCCTATACTTTTGAGTAAAATGGCTAACCAGAGAGTATGATTTGGGCAGGGAAATAAAGGAGGTGAGGAAGGAGTTAAGGATGGCACATTTCACTAAAGGAGGTGAAGAAAATGTCCTGTTTTAGATCAAGGTACTGAAAAGGAGAGAACTAGGAATATAAACTTCTTCTCAAAAGAAATTTATGGGTGGGGCACCTGGGTGGCTCAGTTGGTTAACTGTCTGCCTATGGCCCAGGTCATGATCCCAGGGTCCTGGGATCGAGCCCCTCATCGGGTTCCCTGCTCAGTGGGGAGTCTTCTTCTCCCTCTCCCTCTCCCTCTGTTCCTCTCCCCACTCGTACTCCCTTCTCTCTGTCAAATATGTAAATAAATAAATAAAATCTTAAAAATTTATGGGAAGCTTCTCGTCCATTTCATAGTGTCAGTACTAAGTCATTTCAGGGTGTATTTAAATGTCAACATTTGTTAAATTCTCCTTAGCATCTCTCTTTTAACTCAGCAAATGACATGCTTTATTGTTTCTTAGTTATTGGTATAACCCTGTCTTCTGCCATTAAAACTACATGTGGAAGCAGTTCTGGATTGGCCATAGTAAAGACTTCTGAAAATCTCCTCCATAAAAGCAACAAGAATACTGGCAGAATATTGTCAAAATCAACTTTTTCAGAACTCTGGGAATTAATCAAGGACTTGGAACAATTTGAAGAACATATTTAAGGAAAGACACCTGAATCTTGGTAAGAATTGCAAGTTTTGTCATGTTTAACTTGCTCTATTCCCATCTCCCTGTCCCAAGCTCTGCAGTAGCCTTGTAAACCAACAGCCTCACAGTCATGTTAGCTGTGAAAACCAGTGGCTTAACAGCCAATGGAAGTGGCAGAATGTTTCGAGCTCCTCAAAAAGCACGATTGCCAGAGAACTGTCACTATTTGACCGGTTTGGCAGCTCTCTGGGAAGGCCCCATGCATAGGGTTTGTCCTTATTTGACTTGACTCAGAGTTTTTTCATTGGAAAAACTCTTTTCCCAGGGCATTTGTTGAAAAAAATTATGGCAGTTGTTTAACATCACAGCTGTCTGAGGTGGCAACACCTGTTGAGGGAAAACAGTTTAATAGGAAAATCAGGGAATGATGTTCATAGGCTGCATTGAAAAGCTCTAATGAATTCCTGGGGTTCTAAAAGGCTGTAGACATGTTCAAGGCTATCAGCATGTCCTGCAAAGGCTCTGATCTTTCATCTCTAGTTGACCTTGAGGTTCTGGAAAATAGGATGTGAAGGCTAAGGCAGAGTGGTAAACTGCCAGGGTGTTGAAGGTGTGCTCCAAAATACAGCCTCTCAGCAAAGGTTGGGAAACTTCAGGCATTTTAAGGAAATGTCTGTCCAAATATTAGCTGACCACTAAGCTAAGCTGAACATGGAAAGAATACAGATTTCATAGAATTAGTCCAGGAAAGTCATTAAGTAATCATCATCATTATTTTCAATAAAACAGTAATAAACTAAATCCAGATAATAAACTAAAATAATAAAGGGTTGAGAGGGGGAAGTCTGATTTCCAAAGTTGGAAATTGTTATATTTAAAATGTCCACTTTTGAGAAGAAAAAAAAGATGTGTGAAGAAACAGGAAAGTATGGTCCATGTGCAAGAAAAAATAAGCAAACCATAAAAACTGTCTAAAAGCAAGCCTGGATGTTGGACTTAGTACACAAAGAGTTTATATCATCTATCCTAAATATGTTCAAAGAACTACAGGAAACCATATCTAAATTATTAAACGAGGGGTGCCTGGGTGGCTGAGCTGGTTAAGCAATGTATCATCCGCTCTGCCCTGGCTGCCTCAGCCTTACCTGTGCAGGTCATGTCTAAAGGTCATCATACTGAGTAAGTTCCTGAACTTCCTTTGGTGGTTGAAGATACAGTTGAAGGCTACAAGAAGACCAAGGAAGGGGTGCTGGGGTGGCTCAATTGGTTGAGCATCTGAATCTTGATTTTAGCTCAGGTCATGATCTGAGGGTTGTGAGATCAAACCCCATGCCATGTTCCATGCTGGGCATGGAGCCTGTTTTAAGATTCTATCCCTCTCTTCCTCCCCCCTCCCTCTCTGGGAAAAAAATTGAAAGTATGAGAACAATATCTCATCAAATAAAGAATATCAATAAAGAGAAATTATAAGAAATAATCAAATAGATATTAGGGAGCTGAAAAGTACAATAACTGGAATGAAAAATTCATTAGGCTCAAGAGCAGATTTGGATTGACAAAAGTCAGTGAATTTAAAGATGAGTCAATTGAGATTATCTTGAATGAGGAACAGAAAGAAAAAAGAAGGAAGAAAACCAAAAAGACTAAGAGGCTTGTGGGGATACCTTCAAGGATACCAGCA